TCAGTTAATTATAGTTTTGTCACTATTTTCTTTAGGCCATAACTTCTCCGTTTTAACTCCGATTTGACCCGTTCAAATTGCGTTAGGTTTGTAATTTCATAATCTACATGTGTCATACTACTGTTACATATATTTTTAATTTTCAAAATTCATGATTTGATTTAATCTATTATTTTAAAGGAAATCTTGTTTAAATCACATCTTCTACGTTTTAACTATGTTTTAGCCTATTCAATTGCGTTGGATTCGTAACAACATAAATTACGCATTAGTAATAGTGTTTACCATATCACTATCTCTGGAATTTCATGGTTTAACTCCTAACTTGAATAATAATTATGCAACTGGATTTTATAAAAAAAATATGATTTGTTTTGCTTTAGTTTTATAATTCAAATCTAAAATTGACTTAATTCAATTTATATTATTTATAAAATATATTATATATATGAATTTATATAGTTAAAATAAATGGAGCCTATAGTTTTCTTTTCTACGTATAAAGCAAATCTTTCGGTAGATGTATCTTTTTCACCGTAGCTCCGATTAGCGTGCCTCTCGCGATTGTGTGTTCGTAGCAATGCGTAGAATCGTGTCTCAAACTCTTTTACTTATTTTTTTATGATTGGTGTATTGTTCTAATTTAGATCTATTGTTTGCTTCGTGTATGATTGCATGGATGTTTATGTGGTGCTTTATGATCATGTCCAGTCAGTGAGCTTTACGCGTTGATCAAGAAGTTCCATTGAAGGTTTGGACTAGAAGAATGATTTAAGTTTAAGACAAGTATAGCATGGGACCATCCTTGCAACCTATTCACCTTTAATTTCTTGATTCATATCGCATGTGTCTACCTTGTTGCCAATAAGGATATCCTAGATATTTGATATCTTGTGCCTTAATAACTACAACCATGATCTTGTAACTTGACTAATGGTATATGCAATAAACACTAAAAGATGCTTTTTAGTAACATGGAACAAGGGGGCTAGAGCATTGAGCTGTTTTTATGGTGCTCTAGATTTCTCTCCCTAAGGACTTATTTATAAGTGATTATTCGGGACTTAGAGTACAACTATGAGGGCTATATGGCTTTGGCTTTAGCTCAGTATGAAGATCTTTTCTAGCTTGTTAGAGGTTACCTCTATTGGCATAAGAATGGCTTAACGAATCGGGTATAGGATAGCCTCTACTCTTATGTGTATAGCCGTGATGGAATTATGCCATTCGACAGGGGGTTCCTATATCTGTTTATCGAGTGAATCTAATGGCCCTAACTTGTTAGATGAACCTTTGAAAGGCTTTATAGTGAACCCTGCCGACCTTCCTTGGTAGTGGGTCAAGAGGCTGATCACCTCGGACGAAAGGGTAAATCACGACTCACAGTGAAAGTATACAACCTCTGCAGAGTGTAAAATTGGTATATCAGCCGTGCTCATGGTCACGAGCAGCCTTAAAACATTTACGGAATAGATGATGAACACTGATGATACTGATGATAAAGATGCTTATTAATGATTACTATTTATACTATTCATTATTCATGTTTACCTGATCATGTGTTTACATGAGCTTGTGATAAATTTGTTGCCACTCAATTGCTAAAATCATGACTCATTAAAAGCTAATCGCAGTTAACCAGTGTCAGCCTTTTGAGACTCATGAACCCCATGTTATATTTGTTGAGTACGACATGTACTTACGCTTGCTTTACTTTTTAATTATTTAGAAAAATCTCAGATGAGTACCAGATTGCTAGTCTGGAGGAGTTAGGCTTGTGATCAACCAGTCAGTTGTCCCTGTGAATTTGAGTCTTTACCCGAAGATCGGAGTTGTCTTTTCGCCGCTTGCTATCTAAGGTTATAATCTTTATAGTAATACGCTATGTATTTAAGCATTGTCTTTTGATATTATCCTTATTTGTAGCTATATGTGAGATTTGACTTCCTGAGCTCACATATGGTGTGTATCTGGTTTTATTCTTAAAATCGGGTGCTACAGAGCTACCCCTACAAATTGGGCCATTTGTAGGGACGGCTGATAAAACCAGCAGCCCCTACAAATGGAATTGTAGGGGCAGCTCAATATAGAGCCGTCTCTAAAAAAAAGGCTTTGCTACAAATCCTTTTTTAGTAGCCATTGCTCCTCCATCGGAGAGGAGCGAGTGGACGAGCGGATAGGAGTGATTGGACAAGAGGATTTTTTTAAAGAAACTCCGGGGTAGTTGGGCTGGTGTCGCGGTCCACCGTCGGAGCGTGCCTGCTTCCCAGCATTACCGTGATAACTATAGCTACTCCTCAGCAGTCTCACCTGACCTCCTTCCTACACTTAGCTCTACAACTAGAATGATAGGGCTTTGCCTGATTGAACTCAAATTCTCGGTGCTTGGAATGGTGGCGACGACAATGGACTATCTATAGCTTGAGGAGGTCAGTTCCAGAGAGAGAGAGGGTACTTATAGGTTTGTCTAACTCTAGACTAGTCCCACCGACATAGAGTTTTTCACTCCTACCTGTTGGATCAACTGCCTTGTTATTATGGATGTCGGGGATGTTTTGTCGAAGGTGGTTGTTAATTAACACGTGTTGGATTGTCAATTTGATGGATATATTTATGGGACCCTTCAGAGGTCTTCCAGCCCTTTGTCTTGTTGTAGGCTTGTATTTGAATTTCATAGGGATCCTTAGGCAAGTATCTTGGCCTTCGTGATGAGATTTGTGGAGTTTGACAAGGGTTTTTTGGCCGGTCAGCCGACGTTACGATCTTTCGAACGGCATAACTTTATATCTGAACTTCGAACCAAATGAATCAAATGTCCATTTTAGCGATCTCAACAAGGTATTCAAAATGGTGTGTAATCAAATATTTAATTTTGATCCTTTGCAAAAAAAAATATTTTTGATAACTCTCGCATCATTTTAAAATTCTTATTTCTTTATTCATTATATGCATATCGAGATGTCCAAATGAACCTTCCCCTTGTTAGGCCAGAATTGCCCCTCCACCATTCACGGTATTTATGCACCAAGTTGTATATATATATACCTGCAAAACATAATAGAACACAAAACCCATGGAACTTGTAGATCTAAAAAAAATTCTAGTTATCTCAAATTTCTCCATTCTTTGAAATGGTTGGCCGAAAAAATGGTTTATAACCGTGAAGGCCACCCCCACACACAACCTTAGAATGTTGCTCATCCTGAGTAAAGGGTTACAATTAAGAACCAAGGACTAAGAAAGAACTATAAGGCAGACATTATGCACAACTACTGAAGATATTAAGCTGGCATAAATCACATTCCAAAATATTCGTACCGTGGGGTGGTGGGTATGAACCTTGCCTTCAGAAGTTGAAAGATGGAACAGTAGGCCTTGTCAAGCTTCAAGTTCTAGACATGCAGGGCCCAATGAAGTTCATGCAAGCGCCTTGCCAAGCCTAGATCGAGTAGGTTTTCTTTCCCTTCGATGGTGACTTCAGGAGGCTGCTTGACATAGACTCCCTTCTTGATTTATGGAAATAGGACGAAGATGAAAGATGGGTGGTTATGGTTGCAAACTCTTGACTCATGCACGTAAGGCAGACGCACTCAGGGGCGTGGCATGCCGTGTGCCGGACGCGCAACTAGGGTACCCAACAAGGCCCATGCTAGATGGGGAACAACAGTAGAGGGAAATCACACTAGCAATGCAAAGAGGATAAAGTGTCAGATCAGAAAGCAGCAGTTTGAAAGAACCAAGGCATCATTTTTCCGCTTGTTTTCGAGATGTGCAATAAATTCTTCGGAACAGAGAAGGAAATCTGAGTTAAAATGTATTTTTCTTGCTTCGATTTCTAAACGTGTGAACACAAATGGGCCCCTTACTGAGTTAGTTTGCCTATTTTTCTTGAAGCCAACAAAAAAAATTCATTTCTACGTATGTGCATGTTGTTTAGTTTTTGTTTTTTAATGTTCCATTGGATCTGCGAACATATGTCATTAAAAAAATGGCAGAAGAACTAGTATGTTAGTTGAAAGCTAGTATATGTAAGGAGAAATAATACCCTATGCTGCAGGTCATTATGTGCCACAACTTGCTGAACTTGTTTATGAGAGGAACAAGGACAAGAAGGGCAAAGCATATATAAACCTCAAGGGGTTCATTGTAAGGATTTGAATAGATTTTACGATGCGAGAATTTCCCTTTTAAATAAGTTATTTCATGGCTACAAATACAGAGCATGCAAATAGGACTCATTCTGGTGGTCTGAATCTTTCAAGATTTCCAATGTGGATTTGACCTTTTTCCCCAAAATTTACAGTGGACACATGAACCATGAAAGAATGGAAACAAGAGTTAGATTCATGTTTTACATATAAGAAATCAATTCTTTCAGGCACAATCATAATGAACTTATTGCAGGTTGGCAATCCTGTCACTAACGATTCCTATGATTCGAAAGAGATAGCTGAGTATGCCTGGAGCCATGCAGTTGTGTCAGATGAAGTATACAGCCGCATCCAAAAGCATTGTGACTTCATGATTTCCAATTTGTCTGATGATTGCAACGCGGCCATGAACTTCATCGATAGTCAGTACCAAGAGATCGACCCATATAACATCTATGCACCCAAATGCCTTCTAAATCAGAGTTCAGCATCATCTACAAATCATGGAATCTTCGTCAATGATCAGGTAAGGTATCCTTGCATCAATGCGGATAGTTTAGCTAGGCCAATGATCACTCTCAAAATGATGCTCATCTTCAGCATACCATGAGCATGCAGTTCAAGAGAAGCAAACACATTTCCTCTGGCTATGATCCGTGCTACTCATCCCATGCCGAGGACTACTTCAACAAGCAGGAAGTGCAGAAAGCGTTTCATGCGAATGTGGGAAAATGGCATATCTGCAGGTGGATGGCCTCAGTTGTTCACCTGGATGTACAGAAAAGTACAAATCACTGCATTCTTGTAGAACTAAACTGAAGGAACTGAACTCATCCATCTCTTGTGTAGCAATCCCATCCTGAACTCCTACAATTTCACGGTATCCTCGGTCCTACCCATATACTCTAAGCTCATCAAAGCAGGACTGAGAGTTTGGCTCTACAGGTCTGGTTCTTTTCAAGTGAACCTTCTGTGAAATCTCACAACAAGCTAAGTGTATGCTCAATTGAATTCTTAACGCCCACTAATCATTCTCTCTGAAACGCATCCTATTATTCGTCGATGCAGCGGTGATGCAGATGGTAAGGTCCCGGTGATCGGCTCCAGATACTGCGTCGAAGGGCTCGGGCTGCCAATCAAGACCCAATGGCAACCCTGGTACCTTGACAAACAGGTCTTATTCTGAGCCAGCAGCTTATCTGGACATCTTTTGCACTGAACATATCAGGAACAAATGATGCTGAAATGAGGGGCAAAATATGGAATGCAGGTTGCTGGCAGGTTTGTGGAGTACTATGGGATGAGCATGGTGACGGTCAGGGGTGCAGGCCACATGGTGCCCCTAAACAAGCCTGCTGAAGCATTGCTGCTGATCAACACATTCCTCCGAGGCGAGCAACTTCCAACACACCGTTGATCAATGCCACGGTGGGATAGTGCAAATCCAATGGTTGTTTGAATTTGGGTTGTCATAATTTGTGGTTGTTTGAAAATTGAAACTAGTCATAAGATCGAACCTATTTATATATTGTGCACAACTGAAATCAGTGCCTAGTTCAAAACTTACTGCATTGCACCATGCATACACATGTTTCCCCAACATTATTCGAGATGAACTGGGTGGAGCGTGATCGTATTCTGAAATTGAACCACAACCTTTTTTTTAATTTAATAAGCACGTATATGTATATGTGGTTGATGTTTGAAATCAAGTGGTGAGTGGCTATGGAAAGAGATCCACACAAGAAGCGGCCCAAGGCCCACGTAACTAACCTCTTCCAGTCTCCACGACCACGACAAGGCCTGGCTTGGCAGCCCAGCGTCCGCGAAGCTTTTGGTGATGGCTCGTCAGCACCGGCAGTGAGCCAAGCAGCGGCGACCGAGCTGCCAAATCCGAGACCGAGAACAGGGTAGAAAGTTTTGTCTCTTGTCTGAGTGAGCTCCCTTTTTTCGTAGTGTGGAAAATGGATTTGGCAGTTATAATGCCATTTTGGTTTTCTTGTTCAGGGTACCTTTAATGAAAATGGAGATAGTGAACGGGTTCAAGTTAGGATGGACCTATTTCCTGTAAAATTTCAGTTATTTGTTCTTGTATTATGGTGAAGTCTGTGCACATATGGGCATGCAGCTTGTGGCACGACGGCCCAGCACGAAGCCCATATTTTTGGCCCGACATGAGCATGGCCCGGCCCGGTGGCGAGCGGGCCCGGGCTGGCACAACCCGGTACACAGGGCCAGGCACACGGGCTGGCTCGGCACGGCCCGCAATTTGGTGAGAGGCCTGGTGGCAGCCCGGTGACCACCCTAGCCTGCTAAGAGCCCACCAGCCTCCTTCCCTCTAACCCTAACTTTCTTTCCCCGTTCCACCCCTCCCCGCGCCGCACTCTCTACTTGCGAGCCACGCGAGGCAGCGTCGTAGCGATGCACTCACGCCCCCCCTCTCTCTCCTGACGCCGACAGCCCGCCACCTCCGTGCCTGGCTATGGACGTAGGACGTGGGCGCGCCACTGGCTCCGGTGTCTCCTCCGCCTCCGGATGTGGGCGCGCCAACTCCAGTGTCTCCGCCGCCACCGACGGCCACGGCCCTCTCGACCCTGCGCCTCTCCACCGCCTCCGTGGCCGGCGGCCAAGCTTCCTCCACGGCCTCGAGCACCACTGTCCTCCTCTCTTCCCTAGCTGAAGCAGGCCTCGGGCTAGCTCGAGCTCCTTGGCAAGCCATGCTTATCGGGCCAGACCAGCCCGAAAATCGGCCCAGCAGGCCGTGCCTAGGCCGTAGTCAGGCACGACAACCGGCTCGGCACGGCTCAGGCGGTACGGTGTGCCGTGCCGGCCCAACCCCCTTTAGGCCGTGCCTGGCACGGCCTCATGCTGGGCCGGGCCGGCCCGTTGCCCATCTATAAGTCTGCGGTATTATGTTTTAGTTCTGAGAGCTTAACGCTGGCTAAAAAGTTGGCCAAGAATGAAAAAGTGCCCCCAAATTAAGAGGCCGAGCAAATTTTCTAATAAGTTGGCTAAGGTGAACACAAATATAGGATATGTTTGGCGCGTGTTTAATTCCTAGCCTGGCTAGCTTTCTCAGCCAGACTGACTTAGCCAGGTTAAAACAAGCCAACCGTCACTTGTTTGGTTGGAGTGATTACTTTATCTTGGTTAAGTTTTGGTGTGTTTGGTTAGCTAGTTTTGCTTGAATAGAATCACCTCCTTTTTTAGAGGTAAGTTACCCCATTTGAAGCAATCCATCAAACATGTGTGGTGCATCACCGTCGCCATTGGCCTCTGGCCTTGAGCCCACTGCTGTGTTCAGCCATGGAGAACGGCGAGGGAGGGGGAGGGGAGTACACCAAGGAAGGCTTCGTCAACCTCCGTGGTGACCCCGCCCTTTGCTCCAAGCGTGGTGCTGGACCGCTTGCACCTTCAATCTCCATGGACAACTACGGCCTCAGCTCGAATCTTCGAACAGGTGCGTCGGTGGCCGTGGGTGGAGGGAGGCTGTGGAGGAGGCGGCGAGGACGGCCATTACCCAGACGGCTACTGCTGCTGTTTCTTCCGGCAGCCGTAGGCGGAGGCGAGGTGGCCGGGGAAGCGGGTGGGTAAGGCGGATGCGAGGGCGGCCATCTCGGCATCGTCATTCACCTGCAGCAACCCCGGCCTCGGCCTTCCCCTCGCTGCGCACGAGCACGACCTCCACGGCAGCCTCCTTGGCCGCGCCCCGCTCCGTGGCGGCGAACAGGCATGCCGCCGCACAGCACAGGGAGGTGGAGGTCACCAGCGGCATCAAGAAGGCAGCAGCTCGCCGTGCTTGTGGACCGCTCTGCGAGTAGGGACCTCCACTGCCTCATGTCGTCCTCCTTCGCGTCCAATAGCTGGTAGGTGAGGGGCGGGGCGGTGACGAGAAAGGAGCACAGGGCTGGCTCGGGCTTGGCTTCAGGAGAACGGCTGATTTGGGCATTTAATCCTGGCCCGGCTACAGCAGTACGGATGGCCTGCCCTAGCCAGGCTCTAGCCCACTTCTAGGCAACCAAACATGCCAAAATTGGCTCCAGGGAGCCAGGCTAGGGGTTGGCCACCCAACCAAACACACCCATAAGCTCACTCCATCCAAAAATAAGTGATGTTTAGGTTTGTTCCGAGTCAAACTATTTTAAGTTTGACTAAATTTATATAAAAAATTTCTAATGTTTATGATACCAAATAACTATTATTAGATTTATCATGAAATATATTTTCATATTCTACCTATTCAGTGTCATAAATATTGATGTTTTTTCTATAAAAACTGGTCAAACTTGAAATTGTTTGACTTAGGACAAACCTAAAACATCACTTATTTTGGGACGGAGGGAATATCAACTAGAAGGATACCCCATGTGTGGTTATGGGACTTTTTAGAAATAAAGGCGTTGCATATCTGAGTTGGAGATACATGTTCTTGCATTGGCTCTAATCAAAGGCATGTAATGGAAGAATCCAATAAAAACAACTAATAGAATATGTATGTTCGGTGACCTATCATCAATTAACTGCTAAAATCTGGATGGAAGTGCAGTCTTTTATTGTACAAAACCACATTCTAGTTATGCTATGTATGGGGACATGAACAATATATGAATATGAATGATAAGGAAAATCTAGGGCATAGGCTAGCCGATGCTAAGCGTATTGCTGAGTTCTGTTGTCTCATAAAACAAATATGGTTTGATTGATTTTGTCTACAATGGCCCTGCATACACTTGAACTAATGTGTGCTTCAACTCTAACCCCACTTATGAATGATTGTATCGTTGTTTAGGCAATGCAAAATGGTGGACGATGTTCCCTACTATGATGATCTACCATCTCCCTATGATGAGAAGCGACCATGTGCCTATCCTCGTTGTTCTAAATTTTAACAGAATTAAAACTGACAAACCTCCCATATTAAAAAAAATTGGTGGCTCTTGAGCATCACTTTCAGGTTGCACAAACAGAGCTGGAATAGAATCATGTTAGTTATAATCATACCGAGGAAAAGTAAGATAACGTCAACTAAAAGTAAAAAATATTTAAGTTTAAGGATAAAGGTAGTTTATTATTGTTAAATATTTGTCATGAGTCATGTATGTTGGTCATTTATGGTTAATCCTTTTTTGCTGTTTTGAAAGATGTCATGTGGTGATTTCTATAGGGGAATCTAGAAATATCGATTATGGATTTTGGACAGTTCTTTGGTATGGCTGAGAACAAAGGAACTTTTTTTCCCTTTGAGGCTCTGTTTAGATTCCATTTTTTCTGTTTCATACGTTTTTCTATAAAAGCAAACCTATTTCTATGAAATTCTTACATGATTCTCTTGAAATTTCGGCTTCCTACTAGTAGGTCTAATTATGAGAAAAAAATACTCATGTAACTCAGATAGGCCTTGAATCGAATGGCAATGCAATGTAGCCATGCCAACGTGTCGTTTATGGTGTTCTCATTTTCTGTGTTGTGTGTTCTAAAGTGCGCTTGGATTTTCTTTTCCTATCGATGTCTACTCCAGTGCCCGGCAGGTTACTGTAGTCATAGTCAGTGGCCCCTCTCTCGATGATGCATGCTCAGCATGCATGTGAGCATGTCTCGTTTCTGTCATGCTAGGCACGCACAACACAGTAACTTATCAGCATGACTTATCAGTTATGTAACTGTGTTTTTCTCTCACAACAAATCAGCTTTAGCTAGCTTATCAGCCGCAGAAACCATCAGCCGAACAACTATTATATTTATTCCTTGCCTGCGGCTGATAGCTTACGCTAGCTTAATTAACGGATCTGAGGAGTAGGTGTCAGGTTCATAAACCCAGGGTCCCCGATGGGTCTGCTTCCCAGCAAAAGTTTGGTCCAGCAGACGGCATTATAAACAACGCGCGACTTCTGGGCCGGCCCAGATACCTAACGACAGGCCAATAGAGCTATCCAGTCTCCGACCAAAAGAACTGGCCAAGGAGGGGACGACGCTCGCTTTCGATTCCGACCCGCTTCTCCGACCCGAAGGCCTGGCCAAGGAGGGGACGACACTCACTTCTGACTCCGACCCGCTTTTCCGACCGGAAGTACACCAAACCTCTGCTTACAGCTCTTTCTCCGACCAGCGCGGTCGGAGCCGACTGGGAATGACCGAATGGGGATGCCCGCTCGGTAAGGACCCAAGAATCAGGCGGAGCAGATAAGGCAAAACGCTCAAGTCAACCGCAATACCGAGGACCGTACCCTGCACACCTACATGACAGTACTGTCAGACCATGTCAGAAGGGTGCTTTGCAACCTTCTAGACATGTCAGAATACGAACAGTATTGTGGGCGCCAATATTTGTCCTACAGTATGGTAGGCGCCGATATTTACTATACCAGAAGAACACGATGGAGCTTACCACATGCATCTAGGCGTTAACAGTATTGTAGG